GTATGAAACGTCCCTCGTTCCTCATGTTTGGCTTAACACTCAAACCAAACACAATGCAATGCATGCAACATGAAGAAGCTATGCAATGTAACAAAAGCATGCCAAATGCAATGTAACCTAGACATGCAAACATGCAATATACCAAGTATGCAACAATATGCAAACTAGTAAGCATGCAACAACATGCAATGCAATATGCATGCAACAACATGCAAACCACATACTCAATGGACTTAAACTAAAAATGGACAGACCTCAGCCATGCCCAAATCAGTGGCCAAAATGCTATGGAAATGAAGTACAAAAGCACATGCAAGCATGCATACACTTTGGTTCATAAACAAGGCATGAAGATAACAACTCCCGTGCATAAGCAATGAGTGAAAAGCATGGATGTATGACAATACTATAGGCCCTGAAATCATGCATGGAATGATGCCAAACCACCCCAACAATGCAAGTATGGCATGAAAGAAAGCTCAAAGCTTGAAACTAGCAAAGGGACTTACACCATGACCACACAAAGCAAGCCCCACAGGGCCAAGGGCAACCAAAATAGTCCCAAGGCAGGTCAATACAAGACCAAAAGCATGCTTGAACCTAGCCAACACAAGCTAGAACAAAAAACCAAAAGCATGAAGCATGCAAGGCTACAAAGGGGTATTACACTACACCTATTAAAACCAAACATGGCATGACTTAACCAATAAAAATCAGAGTTATGGCATGTCAAAATAAGCTCAAAACCCCACTGAGATAGCATCCCAAAAGTCTAAGTATGATGGCATGCAAAATGACCCACTCTTAAGGCATAAAACACCAACTTCCCATTGCATGGAAAAGGTGACAAATGTGAGTGCAAGACCACAGTATATGGACTGAAATCACATATGAAATGATGCCAAATCATGAGAATAGTCTAAGCAATGCATGTTAGTGACTTGGACACCCAAAGCTAACAAGCTAGATTGAACCATGGCTATACAAAGCAACGCATACATGACCAAGACAATACAAATCATAGCTAGAGCATGGTAAAACAAGGCTAAAAGCTCTTTTGAGTTGAGCCAAAACATGCAAGAATGATGGTCCAAACACAAGATGCAGGTTATGCTAGCATACAAAATTGCTCTACAAGTGTATGGTGCATGCAAGAGGTCATCAAACCAACTTTAGACAGAGGTATAACATGGCAAAATAACACCAAATACTTGCTAAAATGGAGCCAAAACAAGCTAAGAAAACATGCTACTATTATGAGCTATTTGTACTAGCATACAAGACACAAGGAGAGGAGATGACCTTCTCCTACTTGGGACCTCAAAACCACCTTTCCACCACTGAAAATTCTCTGGATTTTCGTGGTGAGAAGGCCCAAACAAGGTGGTCCCAATAGCTTAAAGCATGGTACAAAACAAGGCCTAACAAGGCATAAGAGGGGGTAGACTGCCCCCAATACAAAAGTGACCTTAAACAAACATCCCAAGAATGAAAAATCAGAACTTTTTACAGTAGAAAGTTAAGCTTAAATCAACATGCAAATAGGTCTAAAATCTTAAGCCAAAACAAGGGATTAAAAGGTAGTTGACTCACCCTTGAAGAACACCTTCAAGAACACAACTCCAGCAGCTTTTCTGAGTTCAACCCAACCCAAAAACACTAAAACTAACTCCTCAGTATCTCAGCAACAAAAGGACGGTGTTCTAGTAGGTGTTTGTGCGCAATAGTATGAAGAAATCACACTTTTGAGCACAAACAAGAGCAAATAGAGAGAGAGAGAGAGGGGGGTAAAATATAGAGAGAGAGTGATATATGTTTTGTATATCAAATTCTCAGATCCTTTAGAAAGGGAGAGGGGCCTCCCTTCTTATAGAATTTCAATTCTCAAGCTTGTCGAACAAGCTTGAGTCTTGAATGCAATCCCTCCATACATGTGTATGGAGGATGAGAATTATGCCCACCAGCTGTCACAACTGGCACAAAATTTTTATAAAAAGCAGATGGAAGGGTCTCGGCCAGAAAATATGGCCGATTGACCAAAAAGAGTGCCGATCGACCAAAAATAGTGCCGATCAGCCAACACTTATGGCCGATGGCAAGAAAACAAGGCCGATGGCACAATGCCTTAGCCGATGGGTTATAGGGATGGCCAACAAGCCACCCTCTCCCCTCAGAAGAAAAACCACAAGTCCTTGGTCCACAACCAAGCACAAAACAGACAAGTTGAGAGATCCTAAGGCAAGGCGCGCAGCCGAGACTTTCGGGAACTCAAAACGAACACGAGCATGGATGATCATCGAGTGCTCAAACGATGACATCCAAGTCTTGAGGACGGTCAAAAATGGGGTGTCTATAGTTGCCCCTCTTTGACAGAACTTGAAAGTCATAAGATAATGGGAGTGAATGTCAAAGCCCAGAGACGACCCATTTTTGACAAGGCCGAAGACTTAGACAAGCATACAAGATGACAAAGAGATGCGCCCACAGGCAGGGGCAAGATGCAAATGACATGCACAATGTCGAACATAACTTATGAGCATGCAAAGAGAGCTGTAATGAAGCATAACATGCAAAGTAAATGCAACATTTTAAGCAAGCGAATAAGAAATAACAGTCCTACACATTCCAACAGAAAGGATGGAAGAAAATTATGCAATTCTCACTGCATCTCACGCGGAGTAAATACTATACCGTCTGGTCGCGCCAGCCTTAAATGAACGATACATACAATGTCGTCTGGTCGCACCAGCTTCAAATGAACCGTACATACAATATCGTGCCTACACAAGAAAGACACTCAATAGGTACAATATAGTTAGAAGCACATGCTCAACATTACATCAAGATGCAATTCCAATGCGAGATAAACGCGTGCATACACAATGTCGTGTGACGCATAATAATGCGACTGAAAAGTGTGTAACAACGCAAGTAAAACATGCGTGACAACGCAAGTGAGGGGTGCATGACAATGCAACCTAAGTGTACGCATAATAATGCGAGCAAAACATGCGTGACAACGCAACAAGCGTGCGCGACAACGCAAGTAAGGTGGTGCATAACAATGCAACTGAAACAAGCATGACAATGTAAGTAAAACATGTGCAAATGAGGGGTGCATGACAATGCAACCTAAGTGTACGCATAACAATGCGAAAGAGGCATGTGCGACAACACAAGCCATGGGGTGCATAAACACATGTAAGTAAAGCATACGTGACAACGCAAGCAATGTGTAGCAATACGGGGAAAAGCATAAACACATATAAGTAAAGCATGCGCGACAACGCATACAATGTGTGTAACAATGCAAGGAAAGGGTGCATAAGCACATGTAAGTAAAGTATGCGCGACAACGCAAGCAATGTGTGTAATAATGCGAGAAAGGCATAAACACATGTAAGTAAAGCATGCGCGACAACGCAAGCAATGTGTGTAACAATGCGAAAGCGGGCATAAACACATTTAAGTAAAGCATGCGCAACAACGGAAGCAATGTGTGTAACAATGCGAGAGCGGGCATAAATACATGTAAGTAAAGCATGCGCGACTACGCAAGCAATGTGTTTAACAATGCAACAACAAAGAGAGGTATATATTCAACGGAAGCATGGTAAAGGCATGTTATTCGTGATGTTGAGATGCAACTTTAAAACAAGACGAGGCATGCTCAATGCAAGAGCGAAAAGACGTATAACCAATGCGCGCTTTACAAGCGTGACGAAACATTCGTTAGGCATGATATTCAAAGGCAATTCTCAAGCAATTCTTGAATTTTGCCATACACAAAAGGATACAAAAAAAGGATACACCTCGTGTGTATCAAGTTCCGCATACGGAAGACACAGTTCGAGATCAACATGAAGGCCGCTTAAGCTTCAAAAGTGCATCTTCTTGCACTTTCTTGAAAAATGAGGGTACCAACCAACATAACTGGCCCAAACAAGAGCATTGTAGGTGCATTGACCACAAGGGGAAGTCATCGGCCATCCATCGGCCATAAATAGAGCTTATCGGCCAACAATTTAGCCGATCGGCTAACAATTTGGCCGATCGGCCAAAAGTGACAGATTCGGGGGCAGTTTTGACATTTTGCTTCGGGTCTTTAAATATAGGGTTCCAAACCCTATATTCTCACTTCTCGCTTGCCGAAAATCCTTGCTCTCTCTCTCTAGGTGATCTTCCACCTTTAGATCCGAGCTTTTCCTTTGTTTTCGAGCCTCCTGCAACTTCCGATTCGCGAAAACCTCTTCGTTCCAAACACTTTGAACCGAACGAAACACGATTTCGGTGCCTCATTCTCGATTTCCACCACTTGGGGTTTGTTTCCCCCGAGTTTACCTTGATTTCCGTGCCCTCTTCCAAGCCTTGTCATTTTCCTCCGTTTTTCACCCCTCGGGGTTGACTTTCGGTTGACTTTTTGCACTTTTACCCATTTTCCATACCCTCGACCACTTTTGCACCTTCCTCGAGATGGCAGACGATATTCCACGAGGTGGGACTCCCCCAGAGATGGATACGGATCCTGAGGTCAAGCTCCTACCTCTTGGCGTTCGATCGTTCGACCCAGCGACATACCGGCCGACGATATACATACTGCCTCCCGATAGCATCCGCCAGTTCAGGAGCTACACGCGAGGTGCGCCATTAGGGCTCCTGCTACGCGAGCCGGAGTCACACCTTTCCTACGGCGCCGCTAAGGTATACTTTTCATCTCTTTTATTTTCTGCAATGTCTTTCAAATATCTTGAATAGCCAATTATGTTCCTTAACTGAATAACCCAAACGCACTGATACATCACATGCTAAGTTCACCCTGAGCACAATCATACACGATATATGTGCAAACTCGAACACATGCACACACACTGTATTTTATCAGTTCTGAATGCATTCAAACACTGTATTTTTGACACTGCTTCACATCTGTTTGTCTTTGAACACAGGGAGATTGCCATGCCTTCCGAGGGTATGGGAACACCATTGCCCGAGGTTGGTACATGGAGTTGCCCGACGATGTTCGCCATATAGTCGATCAGGCCAGCTTTGGCATTTTCTGCATGGGACTCTCGCGCCTTACTGCGAGTAGGCCCCCTCTAGGTGCGCTAGTGGAGAGGTGGTGGGACACCACCGATTCCTTCCACCTTTTTGCTACAAGGGAGATGACGATGACTCCCTTCGACTTCTCCATGCTCACCAGTATCGGAGTTGAAGGTGATCTGATTCCCTTCGACACCGATATGGGTGAGTGGGATGCTGCCCAGATCTACTTGCTCGACGCTCGACCACCTCTCTCTTGGCCAAGGTTTGTGAGATATTCTTGGTTCGAGGACCAGTTTCGAATACAGGCGCCTACGACTCGTGAGGAGGTGGAGCAGTACGCTCGAGGATTCATCATGTTATTGCTGGGCACCACCTTATTCGCCGACCGGGTGAACACTGTTGCCCTATATCTACTGAGCACGCTAGTGGATGTGACATGGATCATGCGCTACGACTGGGGTGGCGCAGGCCTAGCCACGTTTTACGGATACATGAGCTCTTTATCCCACCGCAGCAGACATCTGCTTGGAGGCTATTGGCGAGCCTGGGAGGTACACCTCCCCTTCTGCTTTTCAATTCTACTTTACACTATCTGTACACCACACACACTGCATACATGCAATCTGCTTTACATTGGTTGTACACTGCACACACTGCACAATACACTGCACATCATTGCACAATACACTGCACATCATTCTCTGATTTCTGCTTTATCTGCATACTGCCTTACTGGTAAGCATACTCATTGTTGCCCTTTTACATTTTGTAGTTGTGGGTGTATGCCTATTTTCCGAGGCTTGCTCCAGAGCCAAAGGTGGAGATGCCTCTTGCTGTCCTATTTTCTCATCGATTCGATGTGAGGTGCGAGCGGAGGCCGCAGGAGTCTTTCCTATTCTTCCGCAGATACTTCGACACCGTTACCGCCGCAGAGGTATTTCAAACATTATAGTTTATTTAAGCTTCGCTTTGCATTGTACTTTCAATAGAAAATAGTAAACTGTATATCTTATCATTTACAGATTACCTGGCAACCCTGGGCTGCGTTGTCGGAGGCAGTTAGAGACTAGTAGAGGGGTGCTCGGGAGACTGCCCGATTCCGAGTCTTGCTGGAGGGTCCGGTCTGCCGGGTTTGGTATTTTGGAGAGCACTTCTTACGTCAGACACTTGGTTTGCCTGAGTAGATAGTCCCGAGGCCACCTTCTACCCATACGAGGGCCACCGAGAGGTACACCCCGAAGGAGATGATGGATTACACGATCGGTTGGGATTCTGACTTCTTCAGAGATGAGGGCGACTATACCAAGTTCATCCAGACTTATCTCATGCGACCCTTGGCCAGTGCTCGCCGAGTTGATAGGGAAAGGCCTACAGCGCCAGTAGCAGGAGCAAGAGCACCGAGGGCGACTCAGGCCTGTGATCGAAGTGGGTCCCAGAGAGGACGCGGAGTGGAGTGGCCAGATCTGCCCACCACCATGACATGCCGAGGGCAAGGTGGAGAAAACTATCAGATACCCATTGCTCCTCCTCCGGCTGATCGTGAGCTCGTCAGAGTTCGCGGCTCGACCCCAGTATGTACTATACTTTACATTCTGTACAGTTATCTCATTTCATTTGATATTCCGCAGAATATTAAATACTTCAACACTTTTGCAGGCTTCGATCGAGTACACTGGACAGACGTTAGAGCTGACAGCCACGGTGATGGGGATGCTTCAGAGGAGTATGGACCTACTGAGCATCTACAGTATCTCGGTGAGTTCTTTCAACCTCAGTCTCAAAACTTCGCATAATCTGTTTCATACTGATCTGATACATCACATTTATCAATACGGCACTTGATACACTGCACTCACATACCACTCATGACACTGATACATTTGTAACTCGTATACTGTAACTCACATACTGCTCACAGCATTACTTACGACATTCATACGTTGTTTACAGCATTCATACACTGTATTCGGTATTCATACGCTGCTCACAGCATTCATACACTGTATTCGATACCATATTCGACTTTGTGTAGCATAACTGATGCATCTACCAATTGTTCTTTTCAAGCCCCATTCCACATACCGGCTGCAAGGGGTGCCTCAGCAGGACCTTCAGCGTCTTCCAGGGAGAGCCAGACGGGGGATAACGATCCACAGTCAAGGCAGACATAGGAGTACTCGTACCGAGAATGGTTCACGGGAGCGTACCCCAAATGATGATGAGTCTGATGAGGAGGCAGAGTCGTCTCAGGATGAGGCTGGAGATGGCTCAAACAGCGGAGGTGACGGCAGCGATCCTGGACCTTCGTCCAAGAAGAGGACCAGGACGGACTCCCGCACATGAGGCTACCGGCGCCGGTCTAGACATTTTGCTGCTTTTCTTTTTTTGCTTTATTTTTCTTTTTACTAGTAGTTTAATCACATTGTACTGCGTTAGGCAGATTTTATTTTCTTCAAAACTATGTACTTTTGCAAAAGAAAATAATGATGGAATGAAACAATTCTCTTTTGTTGAAAAAGTGTTGCATTTGTACATTCTAAGCATCGTATCGCATCGCACCACATCACATTACATAACAATATAAATGAGATTTGAACTCTGTTTTGAAAACTAAACACTCGAACTGCATTAATCAGGTAGTGAGCCAACTGACAACAAAACAACTCGATAAGCAAAACAAAGAATTTGACAAGCTAACCAAATGTAAATACAACTCGATAAGCAAGACAAGGACTAAAGAACATAAAAATACAACTAGATAAACAAAAGTACAACAACTTGATAAACAAATTGAAGTAACACAGGCGCGACTTTGCAAAATCATCATCGGAAGGCATTTGAAGTGGAACCAGTCACAAGTTCTCAACATATCAATACATATACAGCTTAGAGAACAAAGGGAGAGGCCATCGGCCAAAGTGAGAGGCCATCGGCCACAAGAAATGGCCATCGGCCATCATTACTAGCCGATCGGGCAAAAAAGATGGTCGATCGGCATTATTTTTGGCCGATCGACCAAAAATGGCAAGAACCTCTAGAATGCTACCACTTGTCTTCCACTTAACACCTTATCTTCTACAAAAGCCTCAGCTTCGTAGTTTTCTCCATTTCAACTCAGTTTTTGCACCAAATGGAAGCATTTCTTGTCCAAAATCTCACAAATTGGATTGCCAAATTGGATGGCTTGGAAAAGCTGAACTCCCGGGGCTTCGGCATAAATGCACTATTCACGTTGAGTCGCACCCCGCTGCGTTTTCCGTTCCTCCACGCCGCGGCAAGGTTTTGGAATCCGGTAACACGTCTTTAGCTTTGGCGGACAAGAGATGTGTCCCATTTTTGAGGATTTCCAAGTTTTAATGGAATCCGAGCGCGATGAAGAAATCTTGCCTCAATTCCACTTCGGCTGCGTCCAAGCCTTAGGACGAATGTGCGGCCTTACTTTGCATGATGCTCGGTCATTGATTCACGATAGAGAGCTGGACATTCCAAGCATGATTCATCGATTTTCTGATGCTGGTGACCGCGGCGATCATCATTGGTAGGGTTATCGGCGACATACGCTTTGCTTATGTGCTATCTCATTTCTTGCTCGCCCCAGGCTCTGGAGGGTTTAGCACTCGTTTGATTGAAGTTACCGAGGGCTTAAAAGAGGGCAAGAGTTGCATCGCCATGACGCTAGCTGAGACATTGATGGGTTTGGATGCTTTTCATTGCCGGAAGATGACTAGATTCGCGGGGAGTCCACTACTACTGCAGGTAATATTTCTCACCCTATCTCACATATATTGCTCACATCACTTGGCCCTCAGGCTCAGTTTTTCTCTCAAAACCTTTTTTTCACTTTTTCTCTCAACATACACCTCTCTATTCTTTAATCTCTCATTTTTTATCCCTCCCCAGGTATGGTTGATGGATAAATTGAAGGTTGTGGACTCATGCCCAGCATATTCAGCTCGCAGCTATTTCTTCCGGCGACGTCTAGTCGATGCCCCAGATGAGGGATGGTGGTACGAATGAATGCGCAGTTTGTCTGCACTAGACATTGCTTGGCGCTGCCCCTGGCTCAATTTGCCAGCGATGAGCTACAGCAAGACCCGTCAGCCCGGGATTCAGTTGATTGGCCTGACACACTGTGTCTTTTACTTCCCGTTCCAATTCCGGCGCCAGTTCGGACATGATCAGACTCGCCTGGAAGAGGGGATAGAGTACCCTGCTACATTTTCGGTCCGAGGCGCACAGCTAGCTCGGTATGCCGCAGCATGGAGGACGAGAGACCTTCTGGACCCCGCTCCCACTTTCAGTTGCACCCTCTCTGATGAGTGCATAGCTTGGCTTGATGAGAAGGCGCAAATCGGGCCCACTTTGGCATCAGAGGCTTCTACAAGCTCTGGGAGGGGACGCGGGAACACCTGATTATGCCCCGAATTTATTTGTTTTAATCAGTACTTTCAAGTTTTCTTTATGAATGTAATAAAAAGTAACTTCAATTTGTATTCAAGAGTAGGAGAACTCTGTATTGAAATCAATGAAATTGAAGGTTATGGGTACTGAAAATTTTTCGTTTGGTCCAAAAATGGTTTAAGTTGTAAAAAGATTAATTTGAGCAAAATCAACTTTTATTAAAACTTTTCAAAAACCATTTTCGATATGGATCAGAACTGGACATGCCTGAGATCTATCACTGAGATGTACAACCCCAAATCCCAGTAACTGGAAAGTTGCCCCTAGTCTGAATAGCACTGTACCGGAGATCACAACCGAGCTTCTTGAATGCAGAATAGACAAAGGCGACCAAACATGATCACATGGACAAAGTTGATCAGGGAAGTGTTTATGGCTGGACTTTAGGATGAAGTTGCCTACGTATCCCAAAGATGGGAATCAAGCCTTACATAGTTCGGCTCGGGTTCACTCGTGTATTAACACTCTCCTTTTGCGCTCTAACTTTTGCCAAGGCCACCCTTTCTGGGTTTTCAACCTTGAGAGCTTAGTTTTTATAATTTCAAATTTTTCATGCTCTAACTTTTGCCTAGGTTGCCGTTTCGGGTTTTCGGCTTAGCGAGCCACTTAGGGAAAGTATTTCTTCAACTTGTCCACGTTGATCGATTGGGAGAACTCTAGGCCATCTAGGTCCATCAGAACGACAGCTCCAACCGACCAAATAGACTTGATGATGTAAGGACCAGTCCAATTAGGTCTGAACTTGCCCCTAGGGTCATGGATGGGAGCTCGGTTGTCTTTGACCATCAAATCTCATTCTTTCAAATTCTTGGACTTAACCTTCTTGTTGAAAGCCCTGGCGATTCTTCGTTGATAACCCTGAACATGGTACAATGCTTTTAGCCTTCTTTCATCAAAGAGCATGAGTTCTTCGAACTTACTTTGCTGCCAATCAGCCTCAGCTATCTGACATTCAGTCAATACCCGCAATGATGGAACCTCAACTTCGATAGGCAGAACAACCTCCATCCCATAAACCAAGGAATACGAAATTGCCCCAGTAGAAGTTCGAATTGAAGTCCAGTAGCCCCATAGAGCGAATGACAGTTTATTTGGCCAGTCCCGGTAGGTTTCCACCATCTTCTGCAGAATGCGCTTGATGTTCTAGTTGGCGGCCTCAACAGCTCCGTTGGTTTGTGGCCGATATGTAGATGACTTATGAAAAGACACGTTGTACTTGTCCAACAAGTCGATCACTTCCTTCTTGAAGTGGGAACCATTATCTAAAATAATCTCGTTCGGGACCCCGTAGCGATAGATGATGTTGTTCCTAATGAACTTTGCAACATGCGATGCCTTCAACACCACATAAGATTGGGCCTCAACCCACTTCGTAAAGTAGTCTATCACGACTAGAATGAACTCATACCCATTGGACCCCTTCGGAGTGACAGCCCCGATCACGTCAATTCCCCAAACTGAAAACGGCCATGGTGAAGTCATGTTGTATAGCTTCGACGGCGGAATGTTCATGCGATTTGCATGGATCTGACATTTGTGGCATCGCTGGACAAAGCCAATACAATCCTCCTCCATGGTGGACCAGTAATAACCCTGTCTAAGGATCTTC